GCTACCTGGAGCATTGAAATAAAGACAAAAATATAAATTGAAGATCAAAATAAGATTGGAACTATGGCATGTTCCCTGATATGGCAACATGTCTGTACCAATATAGTTTGAAAAATACATTTGTGACCGTATGATTTATGTAAAATCTTAACTTTAAAAGCATATTGACGTGAATGTCAACTGAATGCTCTCAGTGTCAGTGGCCTAGGGTTGTTATTGTTAGAAGAAAGTCACACTGATTTCATCCTGAAAGACAATATGTGTGTTTCTATTAGCATCAAATGGAAGAAATGCCATTTTTACTTTCCCTTTCTCTGAAATATGCTTGAGTCCTCCTAACATAAGTACCCAACAATTAATTTGGAAGAAACTTTAATATATGATTAAAGCTTAACTGATTAATTACAGTAATTAATCAATTACAATTTTAAAACTTTTATTCAGACTTTATTCAGGACCATATATTTGCCTTTGAGAACTAAGCTACATTATTATGTTGTCAGTAGCTATAATTGTGACTTGTCATCCTTTTTTATAAACCCACTTTAGGAGAATGCAGCTGATGCTGGTGACAGCAGAATATGCTTAATACTTTTTCTATCCGTTTCCTCCATGTAAATCCCTAATACCTTCTCTCCCCGAATTTTAAATGTACTTATTCATTAAAAATTCCCCATATAATCCCAGCAGACCTTAAGATTGGTTAGAGATTATGGTGTGTGAAGACCTAACCAGGATGAGCTTTTGCTAGCGGGGCTGTCTCCTCATTTAGTGGCTGATCCTGGAAAGAGAGAGACCCACCAAGCCAAGTAAGTACCTGGTCCCCAACTATCGGAATAAAAGCCCTTTCCTCAGTCATGTCAGCTAATGCCTCAGGACCAGGGGTGGGCTGCTGGGGGTTCACAAAGTTACGAGAGACCCCTAATTAAGATTCTGTGCAGTTTGAAGAACCCCCAAATCCCACTACTGGCCGGCCCCGCCCATCCCCCCCGCCTAGGAGTCCCCACATGGCCTGTTTTGGTTGCAGGTAAGTGCAGTGCGTGCATGGAGGCTCTAGGAGGCCGAAAGACGGGCCTCCTGGGAGTTCGGGAAAGCCAGAAATGGGCCCATTTCCAGCTTCCAGAGAGCCTCTGGAGCCCAGGGAGGCCCGCTTTTGTCCTCCTGGAGACTCAAGGAAAGTCTCTGGAGCCCGGGGAAGGCAAAAATGTCCATCCCCATCACCGTGGTGCAGGAGGTTGACTAGGCCACGCCCACCCAGTAACCGGGCAGAGAACCCGTTGTTAAAATTTTTGAAGCCCGTCCTTGCTCAGGATCTGTGTCAATCATCAACTTAACCTAATTTTTGTTGGATGTCAACTCTGCTTTTTTCATTTAAAAAAGAAGTCCACAATAGAGAAGTTTCAAAATGGCTGCAGTCCCACACTGGGGGCCAGCCCTTTGTCCTTTGGGGTCTCATGCCATGCTCTTCTTATCCCATAGTGATTATCAGTCGACAGCAGCGTCGTGTGCAGTTGATGCGGATCAAGCAGCGGGAAGAGCGGAAAGAAAAGAAGAAAAAGCGGCCACATCCTCATCCCCACCTGCAACATAAAGCCCATCCGCCTGAGCCGGCCTACCGCCGCAAGCCTAATCCTGTGCGTCGATTTGATGGGGATGTGCTCTCCCCAGTGAGTAAATGCCCGGGTCTTCCTATACAGCGGTAGGGCCATGGGAATCTCAGCTGAAAATTGCTGTTAGTGGGGTGGAAGGAGCTGCTGGAGGAAATGAACTTGTCTCTCGTTCTTTTCCTTCCAGGCATCTTGTATTTCCATCATCCCATTTGCTATTTTTGAAGTATTTTCACAGTGTTCTTCCCTTTTTGATACCCTTTTCTTGCTGCATCTACTGTTTTCTTGCACACCCACCCACCCCGGCAATTTAGCTTATTTTGAGATGTAAGGAAAAAAACAGAAATGTAAAGATCCCAGACCCATTGACTGCTTATGAATTGATACCTTCACACAAATCAAGGAGTTGCATATGTGAAGAGAAGATGTTCAGAGAAAATACATTCCAATTGTGGCTTTGGTGGTTGCATTTGGAAGACAGGAATGGAAAAGCATCTAAGTCTTCAAAATTTATTTTTAACCATAGAGGAATGTCTGCTTTTTACCAATAGTGTTGTCATAAGGAACCTCCCCCTCCTTCCCCCAAATTAAAGTACATGTAGTGAGTTTTCCATCTAATAATGATATACATAATTATGCCACCCAATGTTTGTTGACACTTTTGTAATCTGTGCTAACTGGGAAAAATTGTTATGACAAGCCACTGTGTCCCTACTGCTACTGGGATGCAGTAGCAATAGTATTTACTTGTATACCACTTCGTAGTGCTTTATAGCCCTCTCTAAGCAGTTTACAGAGTCAGCATATTGCCCCCAACAATCCAGGTCCTCATTTTACCAACCTCAGAAGGATGAATCAACCTTGAGCCTGGTGGGATTTGAACTGTCAGGCAACTGATAGTCAGCAGAAATAGCCTGCAGTACTGCACTCTAACCACTGTACCACCGAGACTGGCTTTAGGCCAGGGGTGTCAAACTCGCGACGACATAGTATCATCACATGATGTATCGCAACTTTTTTTCCACCTTCGCTAAACTGGGGGTGGGCGTGACCAGCGCATGACATATCTGGCCCACAGGCCGTGAGTTTGACACCCCTGCTTTAGGTATACCTAAATACAGCAAATTGCAATGTTTAAAGTGGTAAAATGAGTGAAACCTCTGGCAGCTATAGAAGGCGATAGCAGTACTGTAATAATTGGTGATTGCTCAGAGATTATGCATGCCTTCTCCCAAGCAGATCAGGAGGTGAAGCTGGACTTACCCAAAGCACTTTAAGAACAAGACGGCAAAGCCAGTTCTTCCATGTGGTAAAATTTCAGCGAGAAATGGGGGTATGAATTTGTATTTTTGTAATCATTTAAAAAAAATTTTTTTTCTTTTCTCAGAGCTACATACAGAGCTTCCGAGAACGGCAGACAGGTTCCTCTCTCAACAGCCTCCTGGCCAACGCTCATGCTGCCATTGACATAGACTATGACTGTGGCTCCACTGTGCCCCTGACCACCGGCTCGGGTCCTGCCATGAGAGTATAGACCAGCACTTCCCCCTGAATACAAGTGCTGTCTCCTGTGGTCACCTGGGCCAAGCCATGTGGCTAGAACTAGCATCTTGGTTACCACCAGGATCTGAGAACATTCTTCACTGGCATTTGCAGCCTATGCGCAGATGTATTTCAACACCTCTCAAACCGCTAAACATAAGTGGAATTCTTCCTAGTGCTTCTAAGCCATCATGCAACAAGAGGTGAGGAAGGAGTTTGAGCAGGTGCTTGAGGCAAAGGGCTGAAGCGAGATCTGGCTGTAATCCACGCACGGTCAGAAATGTGAAATGCAGAACTTGCGGGGTGGGGGGGGAGGGTGTGGGGTGGGGGAGGGAGGCCACTAAAGAAAGAATAACTCATCTGGAACAACCCCCACAATAAGCAATGAGAACTTTTTCCTACCCATCACTTCTGGAGCAGGCCTCAAAAGGAAGGACTGTTGGATGGTTGTGTGCTCCCTTGCCACAACTGCCTTGCCCTACAGACTGTCTTTGCATGCACTGACCCGAAGGATTGTTTCAGGGCGCAGGTGCCATGGTGGACTGTTAGTGGAAGCTTATGACTAGTTCACTCCGGTCTGGTGGGAACTAGCCAGCTCAGGGAAATGGGGCCCTCTGGCCCTGGGCCCCTTGCCCATACCAGTGCCTGGCATTCTGTTTAAATGCGTGACTCAAGGAAGGAAGGGGAGGAGGGTGGGGATTGGCAACCTGTGCTGGGTTTTGTCACTGTTGAAGTATGCAAGCGTGAGTGTGAGTCTGTGTGCGTGTGGTGGCACTGGAGAAGCTATGGACTTGCGACTGGTATCCAGGCAACAACCCTTTTTGGATACACCCCCCCACCTTCACTCCTGATTCTGGCAAGAGCGTGAGGTAGTAATGGATCTGGAGAGGGGGAACCCATGTACATAGTCTTGTGAGAGTTATTTGTATTAATTTATTATTAACCAAGAGTTGGGCTGGAGAGTTTTGCCAGATCCAGAAGTTGGATAGGGAAAAGAAAATCCTTAGGCCCAAACCATGTTTTCCTATCTAATCTCACATAACAGGGGAGAACAGAGACCAAGGTATTTCCCCTGCACTGCTGGACAAACTTCAGCAACTCCCACATTTTCAGAATGGACTTCCACTGTTGTCTCTGGGGCTAGGGCTTGCTCAATATCTCCAACTTTAAGGAAACTGGAAGGGGGGTGGGGAGGATTCATCAGCCATGTTTTTTTTAAGGGGAGGCAGATAAGGATCCAGCAAGGCTTCTCTCCATTGAGAAACTGCATGTGTCTGTCACCAGTCATCACTGTTGTCACCCCAGAAACTTTGCACTCTCTTTTGTTTTGTCTCTCTCTTTTTGTATATGTGCCAAACGCTGCCGGGCTGTGGCTGCGCAAGTAAAAAAAAAAAGCCTTTTAGGAGTAGTGCATCTATCAATGAACGGGCTGAAAGCATCAAACTCGAACCAAGCCACTGTTACTTACCTATGCAGATAGAACTGGAGACGAGTTAAGGCTTAATTTGGAAGGAGAATGAAGTCAACCCACATCTTGAAACAATATTTTTAGCAGCTATATCTAAAGGGCAATCATTAAGTTCTGAAGTTTTCCTACTTTATTGGTAAAGGCATAACACACTCCAGACAATTGCTTTAAATTATCCACTTGTGTTTTTCCTCCAAAGGAATACCTTTCTCCTTTCAATTTCAGATCTTTTTTAAGGAATGGGGTTTAGAAATACAGATAATACACATAAAGGTATACTGCACAATGGACATATCTAGGCATACAGCTTTCTGTTGAGCCTGTTGCAGCTTTATATGAAGAACATGGGAGAAGAGGAGAATGCAGTACATACCAGGAGTTCAATGCATCTGTGAGGGGAAATGGGTTTAATTGGGAGGGGAGAAGAAAGTAAAGTAGTTGGCCATTCCGTTGGTCTAAATTAGACCCATTGATGAATATATAAAGTTAGAGGTAATACAGTTCCAGTGCTTTGTCTTTTCCCGTTGATCCAGGACCAGCAGATCATCACACCAACCAAACGCAACATTTTAAACAAAATTAGGACTTAAGAACATTTAATAAAGCAGAACATGTTTCCCATGTCGTGCAGAAGAGGAAGAAGACAAGATGACTTGTCTTTTTGTGTGTGATTATTCATACAACTGTCAACTTGCTTCTTTGCCTTTCCAAGCTTAAACTTTGCTCCACTGTATTCAGGACTTTCCTGGTGCTAGCACTCTGTCAAAAAAGAAAAGAATAGAAAGCAATGGTCCAGACAGATAAATCTATCATGACTGAAGAACCATTCAACTGCTTCCCCTTCCCTCAAAGGTATATTCCCAGGTATAGGGATCAATAGTTACCCAGGTGTTGCTGAACTATAATTCCCAGCAACCCTAGCTAGTTGAGGAATCTTAGGAATGTCAAATTTAGAGATTGTCACTCTGGATTCACTTTTGTTGGGCCAAGTACATAACCCCTTTCATCTTTGATCAGTATGCCAAGTAGGTATGTAGATATGGGAATATGCAGTCCATAGAAGATACGATCCATTTCTCACATTATTGCCAAAGGCTCAGACTAGTCTTAACCACCAGGTTTTATCACAGGGTCATAAAAAAGAGAGTTTAATGAATTTCACATATTCCCTGCACCCATCCAACCAAACCATCAAGACATATTTACCTCGCACTGTGAGATGGGCTTTGGAACGGGCATTACCAATGGTAATCTTCACCATCCCACTCATGTTAGGGCTAGTCCTGCAGAACCTCAGCTTGTGGATGTGTCCCACACTCTCCATCTGCACCTGCAATCCGGGCTGCAGCTCCTCCCCATTGAGGCTCCACTGGGGAGTGAAGTCTGGAGGGGCAGATATTTCACACTCAAACTGAGCCTCGGAGGGAGCCGTCACTTCCACGTTCTTCAGAGGCTGGACCACCTGGACTCCCTCAGCTGCAACAGAAGAGAACAGCAAAAATTGATAGACACTGTAACTGCTCTCTAAAGAACGCAGCTGAACAGTAGACTAACAGAATCGTTGGGTAATTGCCATGGATGAGCAAGTGTCCAGTTTTAGGTATCAGACAACAACAACAATGTGGCTCCCTTCATTGTGTTACAACTAGAGTAACAAGGCAAAGGTGAAAAACTGAAGAAAGGATGATTACTGCTCTTGTATGAAAAAGACAGCTCAATCTAGGTATTAAAAGCAAACTCAGCTGAGCATATAACAAAAGAAGCACCCTGGTGTGAGATTGAGATTCTAAACCAGGAACTCTCTTTGATGGCTGTACAGCTTTTTATTTGGGAGGACTGCAACGGAAAGAATAATGGCAGAAAATAAACTACATCATTTTGTTTTGTTTTGTTTTTTGCATGCTGAGGGGAGGGGAATCTTCACACATTTATTTATTTAAAGTTGTCAATCCTGTTTTAGGGTTTCTGCTACAATTCTCATCTATTTGCTCTCTCAAACGTTTAGAAATCGCGCCAGGTTTAGGGAAGTGTCACCAAAATGTGATGAAGTCAATAGGGCCTCAGAAGCAGCCAAAAAGGGCTTTCTGCCATGCAGCTATAGGCAGGGGTGTGTAGCTGGGGGTTCGCAGGGGTTCGGGAGAGCCCCTAGCTAAGATTCTGTGCAGTTGGAGAACCCCCAAATCCCACTTCCTGGCTGGCCCTGCCCCTCCCCTCCCCGGAGTCCCCACAGGGCCTGTTTTGGATGCAGGTAAGTGCAGGGCTTGCGTGGAGACTTGGGAGAAAAATGGGCCTCCCGGAAGATTGAGAAGGCCAGAAATGAGCCCATTTCTGGCTTCCAGGGAGCCTCCAGGGGCCGGGGAGGCTGTTTTCACCCTCCTGGAGGGTCAAGGAAAGCCTCCGGAGTCTGGGGAGAGCAAAAATGTCCCCCCTCCACCATGGTGCAAGAGGCTGACTAGGCTACACCCACCATGGCCACGCCCACCCAGCAACCGGGCAGAGAACCTGTTGCTAAAAATTTTGAAGCCCACCCTTGGCTATAGGTCACAATTTTTTATTCTAATTCTAGTTCCACTTCTGCCTCTTTGGCATTCTCAGTCTGTTGCCGGCCAGCAATTCCTGCTAATCCTTTCTCCGTAGCATTGTCTTCATCTCCTCTCCCTCCACTGTACTCACACCCTTACCCTCCACTAGCAGGCGGGCTGTGGAACGATCGTCCAGGGCATCACAGGTATACAGGCCTTCATCTGCGGGCTCCACGCTGTGAATAACCAGAGTTCGGTAACAATCCAAATTGCAGATCTCATACTTTGGGCCGGCAAAGATCTCTGTGTCGCCCCGAAACCAGCGCACACGTCCTCGAGCCTGAGACACTGTACATTCCAGTGTAGCTTTGTGACGCACCAATACAGTTTTATCCCGCAGTGGCTTCACAATGCGAATCGGCAATGCTGTAGAAAAGAGCAGGCCCAAAGTCTCTGAGAAGTTGGCTTCTCACCTCCAGACCCCTCATTCACTTGTGCAAATTAATAAAAGGCCATCTGGTTCCTTATAATAACCTGCACACATGGAGACATCCCCCAAATCGTGAGGCTTTTGTAAAAAAGGAGGAAAGTGAATCATGCCATAAGCTCCAACCCTTTCATCATGATGCATCATAGCAACAAGACACTATTTTTCTCAATTACATAATATAATTAACAGAATAACAGAGTTGGAAGGGACCTTGAGGCCTTCCAGTCCAACCCCCTTAATTCTTAATAATTCTCTATCCTTCAGTAAACCACTGAGAGTTATTATATTATGGTGGGATAGAAATGCGACAAATACGAGTAATTCTGCCCTCACCTGAAAACATTGCGGTGCATATAAGTGTAGTTTCTAGATTTAGCAAAGCAAAGCAGATTACTGGAAAGGGCAGTCTGGTCCAAATATGCTTTCATTTTTTTCCTTTGTGTTCACCTATAGTCTTTCCCAAGCAGTCTTTTCCCAATCTTTATCATTCCCCTGCTTATACTCTCATGCACACAGATGCACAGGGCCTGGTCTACTTGCCTATGAACATGCAATCCTTATCATTATGTAGCATATGAGCCATGGTGGCGCAGTGGTTAGAGTGCAGTACTGCAAGCTACTTCTGCTGTCTGCTGGCTGCCAGCAATTTGAGTCTCACCGGCTCAAGGTTGACTCAGCCTTCCATCATTCCGAGGTCAGCAAAAAGAGGACCCAAATTGTTGGGGGCAATATGCTGACTCTGTAAAACTGTTTAGAAAAGGCTGCAAAGGACTGTGGAGCGCTATATGAGTCTAAGTGCTATTGCTATTGTTGCTATTTGGAAATGCATGATCTTCCTTCCCAGAGACCTTCATTTTTAATGCATCAGAAAGGACAAATTGTTAAATTTGAGGTCAAGGAGCCATCACTTAAACTACCCTTAGTTCTGAACACAGGAACAAAGGAAGCCAAATTTTGTTTCTGTCCAACTCCCGCTCACTGGTTTTTGAAGTGTGCCTCGTGGCATGCCCTGGAAAGGTCTCAAAGCAGATTGGAGCAAGTATAGTTAGCAGTGCTCCCCTCCCTGCAAAGAGACAGGCCTGCTCTCCCAGCACCAATATGAACTCCTCCTTTGCCAATCCAGTTCGCTCTAGAGCTAACATCGGACCCAACAGACAAGTAACTTCCTTACCTTCCACTTCCAGCCTGGCTTCCGAAGCAGCTGTCTTGGCCACAAAACGGACCTGGCCTATGTCCTCAGGGCGAGCAGAGCTCAGAAGCAGGAAGTGACGGGTTCCTGGGGGTAATGGGGAGGAGAAAGAGTTTTCTGCATTGTTAAGGAGAGACATGTGAGGGTTTATGAGAGGCCCTAGAAAGAAAGAGGGTGCCAGGAAACAAAGGTGGCCGGAAGCAAAGGCTCTATCTTGCTCACAGAAGTAAATGAAAGGTTTGTCTGGGTTTACAAACACTGATACATTTGTATTAGTAAATAACAGCTGTTTTAAAGGATGAAAACACAGCCTTTGTTGCTTTTTTCCCAGCGGTTAAACCACGGTTTTCGATTCCTGAGGAGCGGGGGGAATTGCCCTACTATTGCAATAAAATAAATGTAGGCTACAACTGTATAGGTCAGTAGTGGTTGCCAATAAGGTGATCCTGCCCCCACCCCCCAACATTGCTGTTTTGAAATCAAGGCACGGAGTAAGAACTGGTGGGAAGTCACCCAAGGGAGAGGTAGGTGTAAGTTGAATCAGAAAGAAAAGAGAAGCATTTTACAAGCCAAGGCTGAAGATTAGCAGATGCTGCTTTCGCTCCCACCGCCACCCCGCAATCAAGGTTACTTTGTAAACTAGACCAGGCATCTTTCACCATCCTTCCAGGGCTTTTTGGCTGAAGGGCAGATGCTTCCACCCCCATTGCCACCCCAAGGCCAATGCTTCAAGCAGAGACTGAAAAGAGGGTCTCCTGGGTGGAAAGCAAGGCTTGGCTTGGCTTGGCTTCCTTCGGATAACTCTTCCCATGAATCAGGGGGCATCGGGGAGAGCAGAGAGAGCCACTAGGTTCATTGATAGGCCTAATGGGGGATGAAATGTTTTTGAAAGTAGAGAGTCTCTGCCATTCAACAACCACTTTCCTATCCTCTCCATCTCTGTCCCCTTTCAGTGTTACATTAGCATTCTCTTGGTGAATTTGAGATAGGACTTCCTTCTGCATCCTTTCCTGGACAACCCAAGAAATCAGGGAGGGTCCCTACCGAAACTTTGCCATGTCCCCATTGCTTCTGCAGCTAGGCTGCTCCTCATCTGTTTTCTAGAAGTCTGTGACTTTTCCTCCTGTCTTTCAAGATCATTCCCAAATAAAATTACAGAAGGAATCACAAGCTAAGAAGGGGCCAACGTGATGTTTTTCAGAGCAATTGCAGTGGGTTCTTTAATCACAAGTCCGCTTTGCATATAACAATTACAATACAGATAACAGATAATCAGAGTTGGAAGGGACGTTGTAGGTCATCTAGTCCAACCCCAGGCCCAAGCAGGAGACCTTACATCATTTCTGACAAATGGCAGTCCAATCTCTTCTTGAAAGTCTCAAGTGATGGCGCTCCCACAACTTCCGAGGACAAGCTGTTCCATAGGTTGATTGTTCTCACTGTCAGAAAGTTTCTCCTTATTTCCAGGTTAAATCTCTCCTTGTTCAGTCTCCATCCATTATTCCTTGTCTGGCCTACAGGTGCTTCAGAAAATAGATTGACCCCTTCCTCTCTGTGGCAGCCACCCAAATATTGGAAGACTGCTACAGATTTTTTAAAATTTAGAATAAGATGTGATCAGGGAGAAATTATGCTTTATAACAAGCCACCACATAAAATTAAGCTGTCCTACGCATCCTGACTTGTTTTCAGCATGTCTTGTTATTTAACTACGTCTTTCATTCATTCCTCTTCCAATAATCAAAGAGAAAACTGGAAGCAGGGAAGTTTGTACCCCATTCATATCAGATTTGAAGTTATGTGAATGGTACATCGATGTAATACCTTTGATCACATGCCTTGAAGAGGCAGGAACCAAGCAAAAGGAGCAAACATGCTTGCAGAGGTAGCAGCAAGCAAAATTACGTGTGGTCGCAACTTGCTCATTCATATCCTGATTTGTTGTGCTATCCTGTTGTGCTCTAAGTAGTGTGCAAACATGGCTCCTCCAAAACTTGTTTTTCTTCATTTTGATCGACTTCTCTGAAATGTGCAGAATTAATTTTTCAGAGTTTACCTTGAGGACTGAAAATAATAACTTTGTATTTAATGCAGTGAGACTAATTTCAAGTTGGCTCTTTGATCTATCCTTTTTATTTCTTTATCTTCATCCCTTAAGCAGCCAAACTACCCTCCAAAGGATGAATGCATAAGAAAAGCCACTCAAATATTTTCTCAGGATATTCACTGTCCCACACTTTGCTTCCTCTGCAAGTATTGCTCCAGACATTTGGAAGTCTTGCTTTTATAATAATAAGGGTTCGGAGCTAAGCTTAAAAAAAATAAACAGTACTTAGAGCACTCAGTTGTTCAGACTTTTAAGAATATTTTCTACCATAATTACAATCTGAAATAAGACAATATGTTATTTGCTCAGATGACTTTGTCCCCAATTTGTTTTTAATCTATGGGCAAATTGTCATCTGCCACATATCATAGCATGTGTACACATTGCTAACCATTTTTAAGGGATATATCCTCATAACTATGTTTCTGTGTCAGCCACTGCCTGTTGAAAGCATCCAGAACTCCCTTTAATTGATTCACTTCCATAGCAGTATTTTCTATTTTTGCCCCATAAAAAGGTTGCTGTCCAATCTGTGATGAGTCTGATAATGATACAGTCACACCAGAATCTGTCCACCAATTGTTGTCCACTTAAATTTCTGCAGACATACCACCTCCCCATTCAGCCATTATTGAGTCCTGCTTTCCATGGGCATTTTGACTAGAGATGTGAAACAGACCAGGCACCTGACTCACACAGCTATTTAGCTGTTGTTTCTGGCAAGGAAATGTGTATTTCCTGACAGAACAGCACATTGTTTTCTGTTATTCCCCAATCAGTTCTACACCTTTTGGTCTACAAGGGTCTCTGCCACACCAAGCAAATGCCATTTTTCCAGGAAACTGGAAAAAGATCTATTTTGTTTATTTATTTTATTTAAGTGTAGGCCACAGCTCAAAATTCTTGGGAGTCCGTAGCAGTTATGAAACAACGATGAAACATTCATGGTGTATTTAAGTTAAAGTTATATTAAATTAAAGTCAAAATACAAAACTCCTGTTGTGCCACAATTAGCCCCTGAATTAACTTGGGCTTAACTAGCTTCTGGAAGCCTATATTTGGGGAGCTAATCATAACCCTTATGGGAGGCTACCCCAGGGAAGCAATACTGCCTGGCTTCAATCTCTCTCACTTCCCAGAAATGAGCCACAACTGGCAGTTTAATCTAGGAAAAATGCCTTAAATGGGTCAAATCCTCTTGGAAGAGATGGTTCCAAAAGTACCCTTAGTTGACAGAATGAAGTAGGAAGAAGATCTGTTGATCTGCTTGTAGGCTCCATCTTGCCTGATAAATTAAAGGTTGGAACAATAGGTCTTTCATTCTTTGGAAGACCAACGTTTTTATTTTTGTTTTGTTTTCATAGGCAGATTCATTTCCTGCCCTTTCCTTGGACACTCCCCTCTGTGTCCATTTTGGTTTGGGCTGCAAGAGGGTTTGCACACCTGGCTTAAGCACAGCAGTCTTATCAGTCAGGGTTTTTTCCCCCCAATAGGCCTAAGAGGGGAACAGGATGATGACTGAATAGAAGTATGCTCTCATATAAAGCCAGTTTCTTTCAACAAACATTCATTTCTTGCAACAGACCACATACCGGTCATTACTTTTCTACCAGCATTTGCTAGTCTTAAAATTGCCTTTTACCAGGATACACAATTTAGGAACTTTTTACCGGGATACACACACAATTCATCAGCATGCTCTATTTTTTTGCATTTATTACAATCTGCATCACTCCATTTTCTCTTTCATTCTAGTCTCTGAAACGTTAATTTTAAAAACCATGCTTCTTCTTGCAATATACAAGACATTACCTGCAAATATTCAGATTTTCAACCAACAACATAGTATTTTCTACATACACATGGATTTTCAAGTTCTTCCAACAACACATATGCATTTATCCATCCATACATGAAACAACTGAGACAATAACACACATTCTTATCTTATTCTTTGGGTATTGTTGAAACATTTTCTTAGTATTCCATTCATTTGGAAGCGTGCATTATTGCCATCATAAATTACTCCTATTACAATAAGCAACTAACCTTAAGCTCCTTATTTGTGGATAACATTCCATAATTCCTTTTCATTTGTCTAAAACAACAAGTATACAATAGATTTTCTTTGATTTCTTCACTTCTCAATGACCTACTGGAAAGCAAAAATGTGCTCTACACATTTCCTGGCTAGCACAAAGCCTAATCTATTACACCCATTCCCTCCCTCCCTCCCTTCCTTCCTCCCTTCCTTCCTTCTTTCCTTCCTTCCTCTTGTTGTAGATTAGAATAACAGTCTTGAAAGCTGGCTAAATAAAACCAAGGTGGGGTTATTTTCATTCTAATACTTTCCTCTTTCCCAGAGGTAACTTGCCTTTTTATCTCCTTAATGGTTTGTTGTTCCTTTCCGTTCCCTAAGGCCATTTTTTTTCACACATTCTCTCTTTCATCAATTCATGTTCTTTACAATTTATCTCTTTTATATTCCAAGTTGCAACTGCCTTGATCTGCACTACATGGGCCTCACATAACCTTCAAAGCACAATGTTGATTTTATTACAGTTTTTACATACACATTCTGATATAGCAGAGAAGATGTTATCAGCCTTAGTTGCACCCATGCCACATACATTATTTCCTGCTAATGATAAGAATGTTTGGGTAAGCATGCCACAAGGACAATCCAAGCCTAGTTTAACTCCATTTATGTTTATACTACTCTGTGTAAGCTAAGGTCTCAGATGGCACCATTGCCTCATTTCTCTTGTCATCTACTGTCCAATATAACTGGGTTTTTTTTTTTATCTAGCTTTTCCTTGTATTCTAATTAGGAAATGTCATATCTATTGCCCTGGCAAGAATGAAAAGGTACACTTACCTTCCTGGCGTATTTTCACAGTGCTGGTGACTTTGAGTTTCTCTCCATTATGATACCATTCACCTTTTACCTCCCCTAGGGACACCTCACATATGAAAACAGCATTCTCATTCTCCTGCACGCGGACATCCTCCAGTTCTCGCACAATCTGGACCTGACGTTCTATTTGGGGTGGGGGGGTGGGGTGGGGGAAGAAAACCAACACAGAATTGAAAAGTTTTTACAAAAGTGATATTTGGACTCATATGGTTTCCCCGAAAGTATTCAATTAAAACTCTATTCTTGGTCGTGGTATTCCCCCCAGTTGTCACTAGGACAAACAGATGCCAACTATGAAAAATATATCAGAAGTCATGATAAAAAACAAGCACATTGAGATTGTAAGAGTTACAGCTGTAATCTAGTCACAAGAACATAGCAAGAACTGTGCTGGATCAAGGAGAAAGTGAAAGCAGAGCATTTTACCCTCCAAGGACACCAGAATATAGCAGTAAAAAATGGGTGTTTTATGATAAACTACAGTATACTATTGCCAGTATTATTGGGTGAGAGGCTAAAATGTTCATCAAAAGGTTATGGGCTATCTCAGAAGGTTTTATCAAGGACAATGGATTTTTAACCCATTACAATTGCTAATTGATGAGGTACTTGTAGTCTGTCTCTTGTAACCTGCATCTGAATACTCATGCTTTCTTCATTCTTATTTCATCAAAATCCTAATAGAATGTTTAATCCTCCATCAATTTAACAATCAGCCCATGCATCTGATGAATGAACAAGCTAAAGCAGGCTTGTCCAACCCGCGGCCCACGGGCCGCATGCGGCCCAGGTTGCCTCGTAATGCGGCCCAGTGCCCACCCCAACCTTTGTGCCAGAGCCAGTGAGGTGGAGGAGGAGAGGCAGGCGCGGGGCGAGGCGAGAGCCAGGCCAAGCAGCAAGAGAAAAGGTAGGCGCTGTCAGAGCGCCACCTCCTGCTGTTGCCGCCGCTGGCCCGCCCCCGCCCCCGCTTCTGCCCCCGCCGTCGCTGCCGCTGCTGCCCCCACCACCCCCGCCCCCGCTTCTTCCCCCGCCACCGCTGCTGCTTCTGCCCCCGCCGCTGCCTCTGCCCCCTGCGGCGGGGGCAGAAGCGGCAGTGGGGGAAGAAACGGCGGCGGTGGGGGTGGCGGCAGCGGCAGGGGCAGAAGCAGCAGCGGGGGCAGAAGTGGCGGCAGGGGCAGAAGCGGCGGTGGGGCAGAAGCAGCAGCGGGGGCAGAAGCGGCGGCGGGGGCAGAAGCAGCAGAAGCAGCCGTGGTGGCGGGGGAAGAAGCGGCGGCAGCGGCAGGGGCAGAAGCAGGGGCAGCGGCAGTGGAGGCAGAAGCAGCAGCGGTGGCAGGGGAAGGCTTCTGCCCCCGCCGCTGCTGCTGCTTCTGCCTTCCAGTCCTGCCTCATCCAGCTGGGCCATTTGCAGGAGAGGTGGGCGCGAGGCGGGTGAGCTTTCCCCCCTCCGCAAAATTTGGCCGGAAAATAAACCGTGATAAAAAAACTGTGATTAAAAAACGTGATAAAAAAGAAATAATTTTTAATAAATAATAAATAATAAATAATAAAAACATCTCACTAACTTCATTTCCAAATAAATTTAATATGTTAACTATGTTTTCTATGGTTTTTCTGGATGATCAGGTATCGTTACTGTTATTTTATTTTATGTGCGGCCCAAACCAAATTTTCATCTTCTAATGTGGCCCAGGGAAGGTAAAAGGTTGGACACCCCTGAGCTAAAGGTTTCCCTGTCCATTGTGTCCAATTCTAGAGCATCTCCATTTCTTGGCCAAGGAAGCCGGAGTTGTCTGAAGACACTAACATGACTATATAGCAAAGGTACATGGAATGCTGTTACCTTCCCCCTGAAGTGGTACCTATTAACCTACTTGCATTTGCATGCTTTCAAACTGCTAGGTAGGCAGGAACTGGGGCAAGTAATGTAAGCTCATACCATTGCACGGAGCTTGGGTTTTGAAATGTTGAGCCATCACGCCCTGATAAAGTGAACAGCAGCACACAAAAGCTATGCTTTTTATTAAAGCTATGCTTTTTATTAGTGTTGATGGGAAAAGGTACTGTCAGACTCCTGATGTTGGGCTAGTATAATCTAACATAGTTTTCCTTCTATCATTCCTGCTGGCTCAAGAGAAACATTCATCCACTGCCCCATTCTGCTTTTCCTAATGGCCAATCAGCTACTTTTTAAGAAGCCCCAAGCAGGATAGGAGAAAAACAACTCTCTAGCAACACTGATATTCAGCAACACATATTCAGTAAGATGGCTCTCTCTGAGAGTAAATGTCCAAAATAATCCTTATTTCATAGCCTGTTTCCAAGAGTGGCCAGCAGACAGATGTTTCCAGGAAGCTGTGTTCAGAGGTGATATTCAGCAGGCTCTGACCAATCCTGGAGAACCAATAGCGGAAATTTGGAGTAGTTCGGAAAAACCACCTCTGACTGGAGATTTTACAGTATCCTTCTCTGCCACACCCACCAAGCCATGCCCACAGAGTAAGTAGGTAGTAAAAAAAATTTGAATCCCACCACTGGCCATGTTCCTTTTTATTGGTCATGAAGTTGCCATTTCAAGTATATACATGGAGATGCTATCTAGCGAGTGGGCTAGTAACCATGCATTATGTATCTCTTCTAAAACCCACTTAAATATTCATTGCCTCTTATTTTCCATCTAGCTTTCTGTAGAAGCCTTGCAAGTCTACAGGAGATTCTGACTCACTGCAGTGCACTGTCCTTTGGATTATCACCAGCCTGCTCCAGGCCACCAGAGGCAAAAGTCAGGGAAGCAGAAAAGCAAATGGGGCCCTGCCCTCATCCAGAGGATACTTTGTATGGTGAGCTCCATGCCAAGCCTTGCCCCACTACCACCACATTTCTGCTCTCATCCGTAGCCCAAATCATCCATACCAAAGATCCTCAGTTTGGCAGAAGCACGGCAGTCACCAGCATCACACGTATATTCGCCAGCATCTTCAAGGCTGCAATGGTTGAGCTGCAGGAGACGCCGACGCCCGACTGAATATATGCGGCAGTTGGGGCTCACCTGGATCTCCTTGCCATCCTATGAGAAGTAAAAGCACAAAGATCAGGGTCTGTTTTAGATCTCAGAAAGGAAAGGTGGAGAAAGGGCAGCTCTCAGGTGGTTCTGAGGACACAGCGGGAACATGGAAATCATATTCATCAACCATGTTCCCTTGAATAAATCAAAAGGACTTTTCTGGACAGCGTGTTCTTGCAATTATAGAGAAGATCAAGGAAATGGGGACATTGAGAAGAGGCTTTATTTATTTAGCATATGCCAAATACATGGACTTATAGTGGTTCAAATGTTAATGTCCAGTGCCAAGAGGTAATATGCTCATACTGTTATTATATTATCACTACTAATGAACATTATTACTATTATAATGGTGACCATTGCTCAAATTTGCTGTAACCAGACAACACACTGTTCATTGAAACTGTTGCTCTTTCTTTATATAGTAAAAATAAATAAATAAATAAAGAGAGGTAATACCCTCACCTTGTACCACTTCACCTCAGCCAGGGGTCGGGACAGCTCACACTCAAAAGTAGCTGAGCCTGTCTCGGGAATGCCCAAGTCCTGGGGCAAGCGCAGCATTATAATTGGTGGCTCTGCAAGGACAGAGATAGCAACCGAATAGCAGTCAGACTTATGTACCGCTTCACAGTGCTTTTACGGCCTTCTCTAAATGGTTTACAGAGTCAGCATATTGCCCTCAACAATCCGGGTCCTCATTTTACCAACCTTGGAAGGATGGACGGCTGAGTCAACCTTGAGCAGATGAGACTCAAATTACTGGCAGTTGGCAGAATTAGCCTGCAATACTGCATTCTAATCACTGTACCACCACGGCTCCAAATATAGTTGCAGGTAGCTTGAAGATGCACTATTTTGGAGACTAAAAAGATTAAATGTCTTCAAGAGATGGTACTTAGGCAAACCACACCAGTTTGCATCCTTTACCCTCAGTTTGAAAGACACCAATTTATCTACATTACCTGTCCTACTTCCCATGCCTAGTTTTCTCACGCTGCTGTTGCTATCAAAACTGCTCTGCTCTGCAGGTACATTGAGTTTTGAACATTAAACCTCTTAGAAGATAGGACTAACCTAAAAAGCATCTAGTCTAGCATCCTGTTTCCTACAGTGGCCAGCTAGTTGCTCTTCAGGATGTTACAATCTGAGCATGATGGCAGTGCTTTTTCCTACTTTATTTCCAGTACCAACTTTGCCTTTCCACAGTCCTCCCTCCACTGGTCCCGTACCTCGGACTGTAAGGCGGGCAGAGCTCCGTACAGTATCAGCAGTGAAGGTCACAGTCCCTGTGTCATCTAGTGTGAGTCTTTGCAGCGTCAGGCTGTGCACACAACCAGTGGCGCTCATTTGGCAGGTGGAACTAGGCTTCACACGGATGCCGTCACGTGTCCAGACCCCCAACACATTGGGGTGAGATAGCTCAAGCTCAAATGTCACTGTCTCCTTTTCCAATGTCTCCACGTCCAATAGTGGTTTCTTCACTGTCACCTTCCGGGCTGGAGAGGGAGAAAAGTCTGTGATAGAACCAGTTTTGTCACGAAAGAATCTTATTTGCTCCTTACAAATCAAAGCAAGTTACCAGGAAGGGTAACTATCAGTGGTGGCTAACCTTTTTAGGCTCCTGTGCCAAAAATTGCCCGTGCGCCAGCACACAGGCACTCGCATACCAGCACCCAGAATGCAATGTGCGTCTCCTCTCCCCACGACCCCTGCACATGCACGAGCAATTTCCCCCTACCCCAGCCCCTTACCTGCTGTGCGCCTCACAGCTGATTTTTCAGCTGGTTTGAAGCCTTTTTTGGCCTCCCAGAGAAAAAGCCTCTGCAAGGCTTTTCAGGCCAAATTATAGGCCCATTTCGTCACTTCCAGTATTACAGGAAGTGAGGAAATGGACCTATAATTCATCCTGAAAAGCCTTGCAGAGGCTTTTTCTGTGCCTCTGGGAGGCCAAAAAAGGCCTCAAACCAACCCAAAAATAATCAGCTGTGAGGTGAACACATGCGCAGTGAGGTAAGCTTGCCTGTGGCTCACATGCCAGCACAAATGGCTGTGCATGCCACTTGTGGCACTCGTGCCATAGGTTCACCATCACAGGTATATATACTATTAAGACTGTAATTCAGCAGATACGGATTCATAGGCTACTTCTCATATGACTCCCACTAGCAAGAAAGTTGTATGTTTCTCTGACTTACTGGGTAGGCTCCACACTCACTTCTTCCTCTTACATTTATTGCTAATAGAGTGGAAGGTTTTGAATGGATTCAGCACATTTATCAGGATGAACTAGCTGAACTAGAATTCAAAGTAATTTTTCCTCACAAGAAACTTATCAGCACTAGGCTAATCTTAATGAATCTCACAAAAGCTAAGCAGGGTTGGACCTGACTAATGGGAGACAAAGAGGAAATCCCAGGACTTTGGGGTAAACTGGGATATTTTTTTAAAAAAAAAATCCCAGCAGGCAGCAATGGCAGCCCACTTCCATATTGTGGCCAAGCAAGCAATGTGGACTTGTCACCATGAATCATGTTTAACTCAAGTGAACATTGTACGTAAAAAAAATGATAAACAAAAGCAATAGTCTTATGCAGTATCTTCTACTGCACTTGGCTGCTTGGTATATAACTTCTAAAGTTCAGATTCCAAAACAACAAGGATAGGACAAAAGTGAGATTGCAGTAACTGAATTAAAAATTACTGGTTAAAAAGCTGTATCTGTAATATAATGCAGTTTATTAAAATAAATTGATTTCTTATTTGCATATACCAAGTTATTTTACTCATGCATAAATTACTCTTACACCAGGAAATATGCAAGTACATGTATTCAGACACTGTTACCTTTCTTTCCAGCATAAACAGGGAAGGGAAAGGAAGGGAAGGGGAGTGAGAAGAAAGGCTAGCTGCACTGGGAAGGAAAAATTGAATGGAAACAAAACAAGAATCAGGAGGATTGAATATGGAACACATGAATGTTTAAGGTTACAAAAAGGGTTAAATTCGATAAGCAAGCAGAGCTTCCTAAGTAACTGGTAGTATTCAAATAATCATTGTTAAAGGAATTCTCACATTCAGCAGAGATGTCAGTGGAGGGCGGGGGAAACCTAAGATAAAAAGTTACAGAGATCTTCTCTCAAGGATTTACAATGTATAACTGTGAGAGAAAAACAAGATCAGGATAGAAAGGAGACCTACGTTCCACAGTCAGTCTGGCTTGGGTGCGATCATGCAGGCTCTCACAGCGATAGGTGCCTCGGTCAGCAAGCTCAATGTGATGGATGGTAAGAGCCCTTTTTGGCCCTTGTACCTCCATGGAGTATCTAGGATTCTGCTGCAGTAAGATGCCTTGCTTCATCCATTGCACCTCCGCACTCTCCACGCTCAGCTCCACTTCCAAGCGGACGTCCTGCCCCTCCTCAGCTGCCAAATCATGCAGCGTCTGCACAAACAGCACCTGAGCCTCTGCAAAAATAATGCTCAAAGGTTGAACTACTAGCTGACACATCTCTAACCTGAATGCATTCCCAGGCCCCGATCTCTCCCGCTTTACAGAGAGACAAGCCAGGATTCAAGGCAATCTAGCCATTTCCCAAGGCCTGGGTCAATTTGGCATGTTTACAAACAGTAGATTTCAGAAGACCTAGAACCCCAGCTTTTATGTTTCAAAAAATAAAAGTTCAGTACCTGCAGGGCTATAGAGATAAAGTTTTGAAAATTCGACATGCTGTGCCTAGATAAATCTTCAAAGACGAAGGGAAGTCGAAGTAGAATTTCCAAAAGGGATTCTATTATCTTCCCTACATGACTAAAGCAGCAGCATAAATTATGCAAACTAAGTAAGCAGGGATATTATTTTGAGTAAAGAATTTATATTTTCTTAGCACGGAATTGGGAAGACAAGAAAGGACAAAGCCGTGGCATTAACTGATAACCCCCTTGAAACTCTAACTAATCAGAATTACTAATTACTAATTACTATCACCGACGCACAGTGCTTCTGCCCAAGGATCTGCATTTATCAAAAAGCAACAAACATGGTGTTGCCGTTTCTCTTACCTTGCACACTGAGTCTGCCTGAACTTGACAGTCCTTCTGCACGGATGGTGACTATGCCAGTGTCGCTCAAGCGGCATTGTCGTATGGTGAGGGTATGGCATAGCCCATTCTTGGTTATGGCCAACCGCTCACTATTCACTACATCTTGTCCATTCAGCTGCCAATTCAACCTGACATCATCTGGACATACCACCACTTTGAAGGTGGCATCATCCCCTTCCAGCACTGTTAAATTGTGCAGGTCAGAAATTATCTCCACCAACCTAGGGACTGAGGAAAAAGTGCCATTCAGTTTACATGAAGTTTGCTAACCCTGAACCAATCCAATAGGAGACCCCCAGAGTCCACCCAACATGGTATCACCATGGGATTCATCTCTTAGGACATACAGGTTTGCCAATTTGTACTGAAGCTTAGCTTCCTCCCCCTTCATTCCTTCTATATTTAATCTTATTCATTGATTTCTGCAGATCTGTGGCTATCAGCTCCACTCTACAGGTAGTCCTCAACTTACAACAGTTTATTTAGGGATCATTCAAAGTTACAATGGCAATGAAAAACTGACTTATGACCATTTTTCACACAATCATTGCATTATCCCCATGATCATGTGATCAAAATTCAGGTGCTTGGGACTCCGATTTGAGCTTCTTTGGCGACAGACCGAAACCGTGTCTCTGCACAGTTTCGATCCATGCTCGCCGCTGGAGTGCCTCGAGCCAGCTGGTTTTGGGGCTAAGCCATCCCGCAGAGGTGGTAAAGAAGGGGGAGACTGCCTGCAGGGTTGAGGATAGCCGCATCTCTCCTCCCCAACTGGCCATTACTCCCTTTCCCAAAGGCGGTTGTAGCGGTGGTCAGAAATGGCCACCACAAAGAAGAACTCAACCGGAAAAGAATTTGCAGGAGGAAGATAAGAAGAGAAAGTTTTGGTTGACCAGGTCAAACAGCAAAAGCAACAAATAAGATACCCTGGAATTGAAACTATTAAAAAAAAAACCAATAACATTGTTCCCTAAGAAGATTTCTAAGCTGCAAAGGAGAGAGAAAGCTGAAAGGATTTGGGTTTTTTTCCTCTTATTCCTATACTGACAGTGAAGCGACTTAAGCAAGAAATTGGAAAAAATCCACTTTGACATTAATAGGCATTTAATGCTGAAAATAAAAAAGTCAAAGGGATAATAAAGATTTCTGGATAATCAAAAGCTTTTGAAAACAGGAAAGGAGAGAAAAAGAATAAAAGGGCAGGATCTGGAAGGGAGGAGACTGCCTGGAATTAAAAAGAACTTACAGCAAAATCTCAATAGGACTTCCAAAAGATCTTAACTGAAACATCGCAACAAAATAGTAAAACCCCAGGAAGAGAAAGTGAAAAAGGAAATAAGAAGAAACAGCTTGGGACTATTTGGATTACTTGGTGATCTCTGGATTCTTGGTTATTGCATTTGAATGACTAAAATCAATCGGGTGGTTGTTTAAAACTGTTTAAAATGGCTCCACTTTTAGAATAACTGAAAATGGAACTTAAAAAGTACAAAGAAGATGCACAAGAAGGGAGAGGTTCTTTTGGCTTCGTATTTCAATTCTTAGAAATGGAGATTTGGAACTATGAGAAATAACAAGAAATGCCTGCAGAACAAGAAGATTGGGACAAAGAAGAAGCCATCTTTAATGAACAAGTAATCTTGGGTGGGGGAAAAAAAAGGAAAGTGGGGAAAGTTTAAGATTGGGAAAAACAACCTAAAAAAAGAATAGAGTGAAAAATAAGTATAAAATCAGAAAGCAAGAGAAGAGGGAAATGCAGAAGAGGGAATTAGAAGTAGAGAGACAAGGGGGTAAAAAGGGGAGGGAGAAGAAGAGAGGGAAGAAAGAAAGGAAAAGAAGTTATAAAGGACAGAACAGAATATAAAGGACAGAAAGGACAGAAACAAAATATAGAGAAACAGGGCCTATTGAGAGATAATGGGTGAAAATCTAATGGAAAAAGGGATTCTGCAAAGGTACATAAGATAGTATTGTTATGTTAGAAATAGAAATAATTTCAGAAAATATGAAACAATGTATGATTAAAATGTTTGATAAAATAGTTATCATAACTTAGTGGAATGCTTGTCCACATTTTGTCCACTAACAAAATGAAAATTTAATGATTTACAAAACAGATGTGAAGAGAAATAAGGGAAAAATTAATTATGGAGATTACATGTGTCTTTAAGGAAGTATGATATTTAATTGAAAAGAAATGCTAAAGAGGTTAAGACTTTAATGATTATTAATGATAGAAACTGAATTGGAATGGAATGAGGGTTTATAATTACATATATTTATAATCCATTTTTTAAAAAGACTATAGTGTATATTATAAAAATGTACCAAGCAGAATTCAATTGGAACTTATGTATTATGTATTACATTGTAGGTCATAACCTTAAGGTATATATTGAAGTTTAAATAAGAGTTGAATGGATATAATTAAAAGATATAAAGGTGTCATACTCCAATTAGTAACTACAGGAGAAAAGATAATATGAAATTGAAACAGAACAGACAAAAGTATAAATATAATGATTTGAATTGAGATGAGATAATCAAAATAAAATTGAGAAAATTAAAAGAGGGGAAAAACTACATAGAAAATGTAGAATAGTATAAGATGTGGAATAGAGCACAAAAATGAGCATGAAATTGAGTTTTGTGTCTGTATAAAGAAGTTCAACCCGGGACCATGCTATTTTCAAAAAAGATGTTTTACTTGTATTTTGTGTGTGTGAAAACCCAAATAAAACTTTATTATAAAAAAAAAATCAGGTACTTGGCAAGTGGTTCACATTTATGATGGTTGCAGTGTCTTGGAGTCATGTGATCACCTTTTGTGAACTTCTGACAAGCAAAGTCAATGGGGAAGCCAGATTCACTTAACTATGTGACTAACCTAACACCTGCAAGAAAGGCCGTAAAAGGGAGGAAAACTCACTTAACAAATGTCTCACTTAGCAACAAAAATTTGGGGCTGATAGTGGTCATAAGTCAAGGACCACCTGTATAGCAATGCACAGAGCATAACAGAATTACACGGCAGCCTGGGAAGTATGTGCATACTATTATGACACAAGAAACAAGTATTACTTGAACAATTTCCTAATGAAGGAAGATTGTGTTCTTCCTCCATTTGTTGTGAACTGGATGTGTTCATACAACAACTTATGCTTTCTTTTAATCAGTGGGGCCAAAGGGTGCTTTACGTTAATGTGATGTTACTAAACTAAAGATACTAGAAGTTGAAACTAAACCTTTTCCATGCAAGGCATTTGCTCTCCAATTTCTCCGAAGAACTTACTTTGGACTGTGAGAATAGCCAAAGTACGGTCATCTTTGCTTTCACATGAATATTCGCCAGCATCTTCAGTCCTCACATTACTGAGTGTCAAGGAACGCTCTCGTCCCTCTGCTCCGATCTGCAGGTGTTCATTGGGTTCCAGCTCCTGCCCATCTTTCAGCCATGTCACATCACCCTTGGTTTTGCACAATTCACACCAGAACAACACTGTATCGCCCTGCAGAGCTGTCACATCTGAGAGACCCCGAACAAACTTCACCAGCAGTTCTGAGGTGGGCCAAAGAATAGTTTGGTTACAAAGGGTCAGATCTTGGCACTATTAAGTTGAAGTCACTCGAGAGTGTGGTTAACTGTATCAAACGTAGATGAAAATCCAGAATTATTGGTCGAGGTACCTGCACCTAGAAGAGAACTCTAAACGTTGTTGCGTACCACAGAACTGAAACTATCTTACTGAATCAGACAGGGGTTTGTTTCTCCCTGTATTATATTTTCAACAGTGACCAGGCAGACGCATCGGAAGTCTCTCATAGACTATAACAGCTGTTCCACTGCTTGACCATAAGCATATGCCAAACAGGAATATATTGCCTCTACGCACAAATGGTCTATTTAGCTCTCATGGCTAATAACCGCCAATAGTTCCCTTATTGCAAATAACAGGCTATTTAAAACAAAAAAACAAAAAAACAGCCAAATGTTTTTACGGAAAGAGCTACTGAGGAAATAATGGGAAATCCTCCCCTTTTCCCAACTGCTTGGGCAACACTTCAGAGGTTGGGAAACTAGCCTTAAAGCTTCCATGCAAAGTTTGCTTGCTGCATGATCACAAGCCCCCACCTCTTGCAAACAAAGCCAGTCGGTCTGGTAGAAGATCTACCGTCTCCATTGTCAATCAAGCTAAAGAGACAGAAGGTCCAGCTGGGACAGGAGCCTTAGTTTGACAGGCTCCTTTTGTGACGGTGTTGCCAGAAAAATTTTCACCAGCATGGCTCATCCCATGGCTGAATGTAACCAAAGGTTCCCCACCTGCAAAACCCTTGTTTTTATATAACAGAAAAACTCATTCCTTTTTGAACGTGGTCATCCATCTCGAGTAGGCTGTATTTAATTTATTAAGGTTTTCCATAACACAAAGATGCCAACTTGATGCTCTAGAGCAAGGGTCTTCAAACTTGGTAAATTTAAGACCTGTGGACTTCAACTCCCAGAATTCCTGAGCTAACATGACTGGAGGAGGACATCTGGGAGTTGAAGTCCACAAGTCTTAAAGCTGTCAAGTTTGAAGACCCCTGCTCTAGAGTCACAGGAGATTCCTAAATCATTGGCCATGGCCTCTGAAAGTGTCCCAAACTGATAGCAAGAAGAAAAATTAAATTGAGTGTGGATCCCATCTCTTGTTTTGTGGAGCATAGCCTTTGGCACACTACCAGAGACCAAATAGGGCCCCCTACCCAAGACCATTCCTGTGGGCCCATATCTGATTGCGTCTTGAATTGCCAGGACAGTGAACAGCCTCTGCACAGGTCTCTTACCTTTCACACTAAGCTCAAAATGCAGCTGGTCATGAGAAGAATGGCAGATGTACTCTCCAGCATCAGCTTTGCCTACATTACTCAGCAAGAGGCTGTGGACCCGTCCTTCTCTGCGAAACTGGCAGTGCTCCCCTGCCACAAGGATCCCTTGGGGTCCTTCCCAGCTGACCACGGATGACTCCTTGGAGACAATGGCTGAGAGCACTGCACTGCTCCCCTCCAGGACCAGCACCTTCTCTGGATGCTGTGGTTTGGACACAAACAGCACTGGGGCCTCTGGAATAAGAGAAAGGGAGCACAGAGAACACTCAGCTAGGCCTCTGATTCATACACACCATTGTGAACACTGAAACTGCTACTTGTTCTTTCTCTCTCTCTCTCTCTCTCTCTCTCTCTTTCTCTCTCTCTCTCTTTCTCCCTCCCTCTCCCTCTCCCTCTCCTCCCCCACCCCTCTCTCTCCTCTCTATTAACATATGTCATTTGAGCATTATCAAAACTCTACCTTGTAGTTGGAGATTACTTATTCGCAGTTCATGGGAATATTTCAGAAGTTCAAGATTCTGGTGGAGGGGATTCACCCCACTCAGCATATCACTCATAGAAGTGACTCCTGCTAATCTCATGTTTCTGAGATCAACAAAGCAATCCTCAAAACAGACAAGGTGTCATACATGCCATCAGCACTAAATGGAGATGGGTAACGTACATTCACATATGACCACTAAAGGAATCACGGTCCAAAGTGAAGAATTAGCTCTTTATCATGGTCTCCGTGACTAACTCATGGGCCAGACATAATAGCAGCTTTATTATCTGGAGGAAGTAGCGGTTTACCGAAAAGTCCTTCCATATCTCCAGGGTGGAAGATCAAGCAGGTTGGGTTGGATAAAGGCAGACAGTTGTTCTCAAGTGTGGGCAAGGGAATGTGATTAAGAAAAGCTTCAGTGCCTGCTGTTGTTCTCTTAGGATGACCTCAGCAAGAAGGCACTGACACTTCACTAAACCATAACTAAGCCTTATGACAGCCATGATTCGTTTGGGAAGTTTCTGAGCGAGTTAACTTAAACTTTTCTGAGCCCCTGAAAGCACACAAAAGGGTGTTGATTTCCCCAGGAAGCAATCAGTTGATACAAATATAAAGCAACCATTCTGTAGATATCCAAAGCAGCATAGTCCATTCCCTCAGCATCAAAGAGCTGGTGTGACAGTAGAACTAGCAAGATATATTGATTAAGCAGGAGGACTTCAGCAGGAAAGAAATATCAAAATGCAAATCTAACTTTGTTCTCTGCTTCAGCGCCTATTGTACGTAGGATCATGCAGTTACTTTATCTGCCTGAAGTTATGACTACTAAGAATGCTGGTCTTCACCAGAAATTGCAAAAATAGCCATCAGTTCAAATGGCTTCTGCATTAGCACAAACAGAAACAATGACATGTTGATATCAGCAGAGATATACGGTATGTGTAAAGCCAAGTATTTCATGGAACATTTATATAACAAATGGATCTAAACCAGAAAAAAAAAAATTAGCTACCCATAAGGTATATCTGTAATTATGGTATATTAAAGTTAATCCACTATATGGAAAGCCAGTATATGGTGAGGATCGCAAGTTTTTTATACAGAATAATTTGATAAGACATACAGCTATATTCACTGCATGTCTGCCCTTCCAGGAAAGAGTGCAGTATCAGATTTGTAATGGATGCAAGTCAGTGAACAAGGTGACAAAAGTAGCAGCTGTTGCTATATGTCCAAGCAATTGAAGGATTGCCCAAGTAGGCATCTGGCATGTGTGACAGTATCTGTGAGACACTAGCAAAAATGTGTGCTTGTCAATGAGAAAAGTTCTGACCTTCCTCGTATTTAATGAGGAATCACCTAGGAGGAGATTAAATGGACTTCCTTGATATTACTCTGAAGTCTGTAGCTAATCAAGAATATATTTCCCATTTCAAATAGGATACCAATACACTTGGACTTATATACACAGTGCTTTACATAGCCCTCTCTAAGTGGTTTACAGAGTCAGCCTATTGCTCCCAACAAACTGGGTCTTCATTTTACTGGCCTCAGAAGGATGGAAGGCTGAGTCAACCTTGAGCCTGGTGAGATTCGAACTGCCAAATTGCAGGCAGCCGACAGTCAGCAGAAGGAGCCTGCAGGAATGCATTCTAACCACTGTGCTACCACAGGAACTGCAGCTCTAAGGATGCACCAATAATGAGTCAATTGTCCATGCCTGGACAGGCAATACCCTGCAAGTGAAAATTGGTCACCATGATGGCCGTAAGTATTGGGGGAATGAGAAGCCATGGCTGTTAGGATGGAGAAAGAAGAACCTCTAATCTAAGCCAAAATCAAGAAAGATGGAGGAACGATAATCATGCATATCTTGTATGGAACAGGTCTGTTAAACAACTACAGAAGTTCAGAGACTTCCCCAGCATCAGAGACAAGAATTTCATGCTCCAAGTGCATTGTGAATGATTTTTCTGAGGGTGCCTTAGGCATGTTGGTTGTTGCCTAAGATATAATTACCCCAAGGGATGGACACAGTGTCTTCAAGGTAAATGCACCAATTAGTACTGAATCAGCAGCCTTCAATACCTGTTCTTGAAGGGTTGCTCTTCAATGAGAAGAGTAGCTTGTAGAATTATATCATATAAAGCTCTTCCTTCTTTACAGGAATAATGTTCACTTCTCACATCTGGAAACACTAACAGGCATCTACATGTTCCTCTCCTGGCATAATAGGCAGAGTTCATATCAATGGGAGAAGGTGAGCTTGACAATGTTGGCAATTATAGAAGGGCTATGTAGGCTAAGGATACCCCAGAATTTCTCATCTGCATAAATCATACTAACAGGCTTCAGTGAAACAAGATAAGCCATAAGCAGATGAACACCAGGCAAAGTAAAAAATAAATAAGTTTAATAATAATTGAAACACATTTAAAGGGAAAGGCAAATAGACCAGAGATGCCAAACCAATTGCTACTACAAACTTGAGGATAGTAGCAGTAGCTCAGTCTATTGGCATATCTAATAGGCAGAGAAGAAGGAAACTTCAAGAAAAAACTTTTAGGTTCCAGGCAGGCAGAGAACCTCATACATGTGAATTTCAGAAATGACAATATTTAAAGAACAGTCAAATCTATTTCAGCCCAGTATTTTCCTCCATGTCCACCCCATAAGGACCATCCTATATTTCATTGCACACTCAAGACTCATGCTCCTCTCATCATATTACCTCATATATTCTTCCCCTTTTCTAAGGCCTCACTCCATCCTATGAACTCCACAACCCCTCGTACCACACATGACTGTTCTGACCAAGGCTTATTGAGACACTAATAAACACATGTTAATTCCAAAAGCCTTTTTTTTTTATTTCAACAGCTGTGAATTTTAGTCATTCACAGCCTGTAATGAGTCCCAAACAGTGTATGAATAGTCCAACAGAAGTCTGCCACAGTCTTTCAGGATAAGGCTGATAAGCACCCACCTTTATCTCCCTTGAAATGCTGCCAACGACTAAATTGCCAATTAGATATACAAGGCCAAACAAAGCACAAATTCAACACAGAGCTTCAGGTTTCAAACTGACCACTATGAACAAAGTTGCTTCCTGCAAAAGTTCCTGTTCTTTTGCTCCTCCTTTATGTCTTATGGGAGGCCAATCACCTTCAAGTCTTACTCCCGAGTCTCCCCTTTTGTCTTAACTGTTCTCGCCTTCTGGCAGCTCTGCACATATGCACACTGGGAACAGGCTCCCCTTATTCCTCTGCCTCGCTGCTGTCAGATTCTGGAGGCTTCGGAGTCAGCACACCACTCCCAGATGGCCTTGGCCCCATCTCTGTATCAGACGCAGGACCCTTGTCTGAGTCCTCCCCAGACTCCTGGACTGGCCCATGTTCCTCCCCACTGTCCGACTCTGCTGCCGGCTCCACAGGCTGCCGGCAGACCACAACACATGACCTAGAACAAGGCTGTCATACCTTAATCTTCCAAGGATGGAAGAAGGATAGAAGAAGCCCTGACACTTGAGCATCTGGCTTGAAACTACGACAGGTATTCTTACCTTGTACATTTATTGTGTAATGCACTTCATCATCTCCAGTATTGCAGCTGAACGTGCCACAATCACATGGCTCAGATTGTTGGATGGTTAGGCTGTGGACCAGCCCCTCACTGCTCATAATCATTCGTGGCCCAGGACACAGTGGCTGCCTATTCTTGAGCCACTGGACACACGTCTTCTCTTGAGAAAGTTGGGCAACCAATGTCACATTCTCTCCTTCCTGGACTTCAATAGGTTCTCGGGCATCATCCTTATTCACAATGCACACAGGGGGTGCTAAGAGAAAAAAAGAATTCCCTGTTAAGCAAAGCTGGATATGTTCCCTGTCCTAAAAGAATTTTTTTAAAAAATGGGCTATCATTGAAGTACAATATTTTATAAACCTTTCCGAAACAGTAAAAAGAAAATTATATTGAATTACAGCTTCATCTTTTCTTTTTGGACACTTATTTTATTACCATTCTGGAAAAGAACTGAAATCATCTTAATATTTATTCAACATATCCAGACAGCATCAGCATCAGTGGCAGTTCCTTCTGTTAATTATTGCCGTATGCTAAAAATAAGTAATATTATTTATTTTTTATACCATGTAAGAGGAGGAGGAGGAGGAAGAGGAGGAGGAGGAGAAATATGGAATATAAGGATTTCCAGTCTCTTCTTAATGCTTATTCATATTACTCTGGGGAAAGTGAGTAAATCTCCATTGCCAGTGGCAGGCAACCACTGCTACTCTTTTTCCTCTGCATAATCTCCGGAAACAAACAGCTTTTAATTAAGAATGTAAGCCTAGATGCTTGCTTTTGCTGCCACCTCATCTTTTGGCAAGGACCAATGAGTTATTTTCTGCTTTTCCTCAAAGCATCTGTCCTGGTGCTTCCCCCGCAATTTCTTTCGAAGTCTGTACTGTATATCTTGCTTTTAGTCAGAAGAGAAATTACAGGCCAAAAGCTCGTAAGTCTTAGTAACCTAAAAATCTGGCAGAGTTACGGTCAGTGGAGTATAGGCAAAAGACCAGCTTGTTCCCTTCATTTTTTGTGTGCCCTATTCCACTTGCTAAATTTTTCTGGGTGTGAAGATAGGAAATCCTCCTCCAAAGGAATTCGAGAACATTCTGAGCAAAGGGATTCAGTAGCTTCTGAGGCAGAACCATCCTTTCCCCAGAACATGGCTGTCTGTGATGGGGGTCAGATAAGGGGGGGGGGGAGCAAATAATTATATGTGTGTGATGATGTAATTAATCAAATGTTAATCTAACTTAAGTATATTACTGTGGAGGGCTGGTCCCAAACCCCTTTTTACAGCAGCCTCACCAAGGCCATGCTGCTGGAGCAACAGAAATCATGCTGACAGCAATAGCATTTAGACTTCTGCTTCATAATGCTTTACAGCCTTCTCTAAGTGATTTATGGAGTCAACATATATCAAGTCTCTTGACAGAAGATGATGGAAAAGACAGTCCTGACATCAGATCAACTAAAAATGGTGTTTAGGCATCTTAGTTATGGGACAGAGAAGAGGCCAAGACAGTATCATGAGGACATAAAGAAAAATTACCAAGTTATCTTCGAACCATAGTTTAGAGGACATATGGATACATACAGGTAATCCTTGACTTACAACCACAATGAGGGAACAAATATTCCATCTGTAAGTGATGAAGCCCTTAAGTGAATTGTGTCTCGTATTATGATTTATTTATTTATTTTTGCCATGGTTGTTAAGTGAATTCAGCTTCTCCTATTAACTTTGTTTGTTAGAAACACCCTGGGAAGGTTGCAAATGGTGGGACAATACACTCATCACAAATAGATGCTGGTTGCCAAGCACCCAAATTTTGATCCTGGGACCGTGAAGATGCTGTGACAGTGAGGACCAGTTGTAAGTCACTTTTGCAGCATCATTATAACTGCAAATGGTCATTAAACGAATGGTTGTAAGTTGAGGATTACCCATATTTTGTCAATCATCTGTTTCATTATTACCCCTCTAACCCCCACCCAACATCACCTCCGCCAGTCTGTCATGCGGGAAAGGTTGGAGTTGCTGTTCTAAAAGGCGGAATGATGGCAGAGAAGGTTTTTCTCCTAGACCCCACCAGCCAGAATTCCTTGGCCAATGGGATCTGACCCATGCCTCCGCTGCCAGCACGGATAGGGTGGTCCTGTCCCATTGGGCTAAGACTGTTCCTCAAGTAACCTGGACCCATACCAGGCAGGGCTTTATAGATAATAACCAACACTTCGAATTGCACCTGGAAGCAAAGTGGCAGCCAGTGCAGCTCACGGAGCAGCAGTGTAACATGGCTTATCTCTCAGGGGTGGGATTCTACCGGTTCTGTCCATTTCTGTAGAATCAGTTGCTATGAAAAGCAGCAAACAGAGAGCATATATAGAACCGGTTCTATGTCTGCTGCTGTTTTGGCCGGCCCGTCTGCCTGGGCTCTTACCTGATCTTTATTTCCTGCATTTTCAACCACAGCTGCTTTGCACGACACAGTTGCGATTGAAAAAGCAGGAAAAAGGGGCTTTTTCAACTGCTGCGCACCCGTGCGCAGCGCTGCTCAGCTGTCCAGGCAGCTAGATGACAACGATAGACACGCGTGCAAAATGTAAAATCACTGAACCAGTAGTTACATGGGTCAGATCCCACCCCTGTTCTCTATGTTATAAATTCTGAAATGAGGAGAATATTGGATACTATTCAATATTCAATACTAATATTCAATATTGAACCAATGACTTCTTGCTCACCGTCTCAGATTCAGCCATTACTCTACACCAATTCCCCCATACACTACATTTTTGTGCCTTCCTGTGCTTTCAACCCTTTCCCTGTTGTTTCATTTTTCCCCCTTGAACCACTCTCACCTGCTACTTCTACAGTAGTCACCCTCTGGTCTGTGCCTGCATCACACACATAAGAGCCTGAATCGCCTGGGGTGACACTAAGGATGGTGAGTTGCTGGTGCCTTCCAGTGGCCTCTATGCAAACACGCTTGGCCGCCGCTAGCTCCTTGCCATTCCAGAGCCATCGCACGGCAACTGTAGGTGAAGACGTCTCACAAGCCAAGATTAAATCTTCTCCAGTTGCCAAGGAGCGATGCTCTGGCATCCCTGCATATCCCACGATGGAGATGGGAGGCTCTTCAAAACCAAAAAGAAAAAAGAAAACACGGTCATCAAACAGGGCCCAGACAGGGTTTGGCAGCCAGCTGAATGGCACAAGCTGCCTCCTGTCAGTCTTCACAAAATATCGGTGTCCTGTAGCTGACCAGACAAATGGATCTGATCTTGAAAGTCATTTATTTCAGGCTCTAAAAATATGTTGCTTGCTTGCCTTACTTCCCCACCCAGGAATGCTAAATTCAAGATTTAGCATTAGAGCCTTTTAAATGGACAGCCTCCCCTTCCACACCTCAAAAAAAGCTGCATGGCAGGAAGACGTTTCCCTAGGTGTCACTTCAGAGCAAAGGGGAACTGTTGTGCAGAGGACACAAACATCTCTCATGCTGGAGGCAATATTGCAAGTCAACATCCACAGCCATGTCCTATATAAACTGTGCAAATTTATCCCACAACAAATAAAAGTGGAAGACTTTATATTAAAAAAAGGAAGGTGTCGTGTAGCTACTGTTCTTGATCTATCTCAGTAATACTCAGTATTTCTTGATGCTAAATTTTGACTTTCTTTTATAAACAACCCCTATGGCCTAGTAATTACTATAAATATCAGCAGAAACAAAGCCCATTTTAAGCTCTGCATTGAATGATAACGCTGTGTTTTATTAGTGGGATTTCAGAAGGTGCTGGAAATGCAACTCTGTGAAGACTAATTACCTCTTAAAAGTCTTCTTCAATTGAAGTAGTACAAACAATTTATAAAGAAATAAATCAAATGTACAGTCATGGTTCTGAAAAGATATTAAATCATATTGACTTTAACTAGCCAAAACATGTACTTTCCCGTTTACGAATAATGAGGGACCCTCTAAGACTCCATTCACAAAAGAGCAGCCACAACTATTGTTGCCAGAAAGAAGAGACAAAGCTAGTGACAGTGAATAAGCTGACCTTCTTCAAACGTATGTTGGAAGAACAAGTTTGTATTGAATTCTTTATTTCCCGTACTGAATATGGATTACTGAAGTAGTGTTGAATTAATCTGGAAGCTGGAACACAATGCTCTTTCCGTGTTACACTTGACATTCTTGCTTTATAAACAATGTAATGTTTTCATAAAAGGAACTTGTTCATAAGTGGCCTTCCCTTCCACTCACCAACCACCCTCAGACATTACCTTCTACTGTGACATAGAAGATGAGGCTGTCGTCACCACTGTCACACAGATATTCCCCAGCATCAGACATTTCCACGGCTGAAACCACCAACGAATGTCGCGTTCCATCTTGCTCCAACCACCCACGTTCTGTGTCCTGCAGTTTCTCCCCATCCTTGTACCATTTCACCTCTCCTTTGGGGCAAGACAGTGTTACTGACAGCACCAGGTCTTCAGAAACCAAGCAACGGTGGTGGGTTTGCAGCTCATCTCGCCCCACTATTTGAACCGGAGGATCTGTCAGTACAAACAATGCTAGTTAAATTTCTGTGGCTTGTTCTAATTTTAATTGCTGTTTTAATAAGGGGAATGCTGCTGTGATTAACGTAATAGTAATTCTCCTATTTTAGTCCTCTCTCTTGTTTTACATTAAAAAAAAGTTTCCTAAGTGATGCACAAATTGGAATGGTGTGATGAGCTTATCCTGGGGATCTAATCTCCAAGGGATATCTAATTTAAGACATCATCAACTCTAAAAACAAAACCACACATAGCTGAAGGTGGACTTGACCTTGACCCAGGAGAACATGTTACTTGGAGAACCTAGATCAGATTTCTCGTATTATTACCCTTTGGTTGTTAGACATCATTTTTCACCATTGTCAGCCAGTTTTAAGAACCGGCCTTCATTTTCCAGGGAAGCCCTAACAGCTTCTTGAGTTTGGGAAGAAATATAACAACAAGGATTGCACAATGTTCTCTAACAAAAGTATGTCATAAGCAGAAGAGGTATTCAGCAGGTTCTGACCTGTTCTGTAGAACCAGTAGTGGAAATTTTGAGTAGTTCGGAGAACCAGTGGTAACTTTCACCCAGGAGTGAGGATGAAGACTTTACAATATCCTTCTCCTGCCATGCCCACCAAGCCACACCACCAAGCCATACCACGCCCACCAAGCCATGCCCACAGAACTGGTTGTAAAAATTTTTGAATCCTATCACTGGTCATAAGGTTGGCCTCTGGAATCAACAGGCCTGCAGAAAGCCATGCTGAAGTCAATTGGACATTGATCCCCCAGGCACAAATGAAACAATGGGCATTTTCATTTGTAAAGCTTCAAAGATTTAGGACCCCTCTTCCCTCTATTTTTCCAACATCGCATCCTTGTTCATACAGAAAAGACAGCAGGAGAAAGGCAGTGGTGGGATTCAAATAATTTAACAACAGGTTCGTTGCTCTAATGAGTTCTTCCAACAACCAGTTCACCAAACTGCTTAGAAAATTAACAACCGGTTCTCCTGAACTGGTGCAAATAGGCTGAATCCCACTATTGGAGAAAGACGTCTGTAAGACAAATGATCATCCTAGCCATATGACTTTTCCACTCTACAGGTAGCCCTTGACTTATGGCTACAAGTGGGCCAGAATCTCTGCTGCTAAGCAAGTTAATTAATCACACCTGATTTTATGACCTTTCTGCTAGAGTTGTTAAGCGAATCAATGCAGTTGTTAAGTGAATCACACGGTCAAAAACTGAATCTAGCTTCCCCTTTGACTTTGCTTGAAGCCAGCAGGGAAAGTTGCAAATGATGATTGCATGCTCCCAGAACACTGCAACTGTCCTAAAATTGGTTGCCAAGCATCCATATTTTGATCATGTGACCGTAGAGCAGACCTGGGCATTTTACAGCCCTTTGGCTGTCCCTGTCCGGCTCACATGAGGTCAATCAGAAATTAGGAATCAAATGGAAATAAGTGTATGACATGCATGCAATACAATTGCATTTGTTATATTTTGAAGGCAACTGCTATTTTTTTTCCAATTTTTTTTTCCAATTTACGTATGCGTGTCTAGGCATCTTCACAGCCCTATTGGTTTGGCCCTCCACAACAGTCCTAGTTTCTCGTGTGATCTCTTGGGAAAATTAATTCGCCCACCCCTGCTGTAGTGATACTGTGACACTGTAAACGCGAGAAACAGTTGTAAGGCACTTTTTTCCCAGTACTGTAGTAACTTTAAATAGATGCAAAACAAATAGTTGTAAGTCAAGGACTACCTGTAAGTCCAAGTAAAGAGCTCTTTAAATTGCACATTTTACTAAATGCTCTCTAGGAATTCCCCATTCAAAGGTCCTCGTAGACTTTCAACAGGTCTGCAACAGTAAGCACCCCAGAACATTCACTGATTCCATGAGAACAAAATGCCAAAGGATACTTCATCCCCAAGTCTGCAGATTTCCCTGCCTTTTCTACAAATACCCCTTCTAGTAGAGAAAAGGTCTATGGACCAATGTCCATAGCAAATGTTTTATGAAAGCAAGCCTTTCCCCAAAGCAACACCAATATCACCCAAGTGGTACAAACTTTGTACATATGGTGTATTGACTGAAGAAAGCCTTTTGTACTTTGTACTGCACTTTACTTCCGGCCTCCTCTCAAACAACGAAAAACAAAATCAGAACTAAACAATATCCTATCTCCCTGCCTTCATCATCATTTACCCACTGAATACAGTAAATGCAGATTATCTGCTGCCAAGGCTGTCACAAAGCCAGCTCCATCTAGTGGACAACCCCCACCCCCCCACCCCTACAGCAACTGACTGATGCTTTCATAGAGCACCCATTGGGATTAAACTCATTCAGCTCCCGAAGAAGCTAACCTCTTTCTTCCAAGAGGAAATTGAGTCACCTCTCCATGTTTTTGCTCAAAGTATACTTGAAAAATATATTGCAGGACTTTTTTCCTCCTCTCTTAACAACCTAGGACAGCTAGGACATTCTTACATACAACTGCTTTGCCAGATAAAATTCCAACTCAGCCAAAGCAACAGTGGTCACTCCCTTGCAACAAGGATCCCTTTCCTAAAGTACTTTCCATTATACTTCTTATATGCTAGAAACTGCTGCTCTTCAAAGTGACGTACGGAAATGTAACAGATTGATCCCAGATCGTTTGCTATCTAAAGAATAATGCTCATGCCAGCTTCTCAAATCAAGGTGTGTAAAAAACAAAGCTGCTCAAGTAACTCTGGCACCACCATGTCTAAAGAGCCAAACTAATACAACAGTAAGTAGACCAGCTGTGCTTTCATGACAATTAAAATGCACAGCTGAAGACAATCTTCTTACTTAGCCTAATTGTAGGGCAGGCCTTGACCTACAAAAGATTTTTGACACCAAAAGCTACATTCTGTGGAAACTCTGAATCAATGCTGCACGTACCCCAGTTTAATAATATGGGAGCATTTTTCAAAGATCTCCATTGTCTTAAAAAAATGCGAGTAACCATTCTTCTAATAATGCCTTTTCTAAGTAAAACAGTACACAGGGGAGAAAATCCAATTTTGTCTCTCAAGAAAGCATAGGCACGCTCAAGTAAAAGAAATTGCCTGAAAATGAATTCATGTCACTCAGCCAACGCTCCTTGGGTATCCCAGCTGTTGCTTTAGAAAGAAAGATTCTTTAGCCAAAGATTCCTCAGAAGCAGCCAATGATCAGATGGCCAAGAGGCAGGAAAACATCAATTGTGTGACATTGTGTAGGAAAATAGCAATCTCATGCCAGCTGTCCAAGTACCAATAATGGCATTAAATAAATATACAATGCTACATCGTAAAGATAAATTTTAATCAGAAGGGAGACTAGATCACATGTAACTCCACTAGAACTACTTTCAGAATTTCTAGATAGTTTATCAAACTAAAAATTTAATTTCAAAGGAATGTACAACAAAGCTCTGTACTTAACCAGATGAAGCCACTTCTCATCACTTGCATCTGCCAGACAGAGCTGAACTAAGCATTAAACTCAGGGACCCATATGTATCATAAAAAGCCTACAAGATTTCTAACACCAGAATTTGCATTTGAACAAGATGCACTTTTCAGGAATACCCACAGATCTGAGCTGAAGATTAGAAAATGGGTTAAATTTTCTCCTATTTTCAATCTAATGACGTCTGGCCATGGGAAAGTTCAGATTCCTTCCATCTGCCACACTCTTGGCTAAGAACCTTGGAAAGTTTTTATCTGATCCAACCATATTTTTGTAAACTCTGTATTTCTGAAAACACAAAACATTTCCAGATGCTGCTTTTTCCTTGCTCCTTGGGCCTCAACCTCCCCCATTAGTATCACTGCATTCTCCACAAACCAGCATTGATGCAATGCAAATCTCTAAAATGTCCACCCTCACTAGTTTTGGAAAATCTATTTGTATTCTCTTTCTTCCTCACTTTAGAGACAGATAAAATTTATTTTCCAGCAAGTTCACCCTATGTTTATGGCCATTAAAGAGGCTGCTTTTAACATTTCCCAGCTCCTAGTCAATATTCCATTCAGCCTAGCTAAGGGAAAAGCCCTTAATGCAATTTTGCTGGGCTGTCACCCTCTGACAGACTTTGCTGCCATATACGCTCTCAGTTTGCTAGAGTCTTACACATGCCATATTAGCCTGGTGCCATGGTGTGCACAAAAAAGGCAAAGGTTGCTTGTTAATTCATGATGCATATAAATGTACCAGGAACCCTGAAATAACGCACACAGAAAACTCAAAGAGAATGCAAACAGAATAGCCAATAGTCCTCTCCTGGCTAACAGAAGCCAATATTGAGGGCAACTGAAATGCCCGCAGCAATATGGCTTCATGAATAGTGTTCATACCAATCCTCATATATAGTCTGTCACCAAACAATTGCAGACCTAGAAATATCAGCTTGTTTGGACAATTGCGGGCAAGAGGGAATGCTTTCTGCCTCTCCTGCATATCAAAGAATACTTCTTTTGAATCAGGAGATAAATTATACTTATGTCCAATATGCCAACTCTGGAGATAGGGTAGACCTCTGCTTTTCAGGAGCTCTGGAGCAATTTTGCTCAAGATCTGTATAGTGATGCTTTGGAGTATCTACTCATTGAGAAAAGAAGCTAAGAACCAACACAGAATAGTATATCTAAACGATTCAACCAATGTTAGACAAATTCTCCCAACAACCACCCATCCACCCCGGTAGTATGTTCTCACCTCCTTTTCCTAGCACTATCAGCTTTCCTGAATGCTGCACTCACCAGACACCTGGAGGGTGAAGGTCCTGGTATCATCAAGAGTGTGGCAGATGTATTTCCCAGAATGCTCTGGGCCAGCTGCAGGGATGACCAAACACCGCCGGGCACCCTCTTCCTCCAGGATGAGGCCGCTGTTGGCCTCTACTCTGACACCATCCTTAACCCAGTGGACAGGCGCATTCCCATGGGAGAGCACACAGGCCATAGTCACTGTATCCCCCGTTGAGGCCTTCAGGACAGAGGGAGTCCTGCGCGGCTGCACGATCTTCACAGGGGGCTCTGGAAGGAGAGGGCAGGTAGCCCAGGTTTGAAGAGGCCACAACTGCAACACAAGTGCTGTTGCTGGGCAAAACCGCAAACGTTTATGGGTTGAGAGAATACCTTTGCAACAAGAAAACCTTGTATTCTGAGAAGAGAAGCCTTGGAGATACATCTTTTCTATAGGTAAATTCTAACAATTCCCTTTTTCATTTTGTTCTCAGCTTGGAAGGTAACAAGTGCCCTTTCTGTCTTTCAGAAAAGCACTTCAAAAATTGATCCTCCCTTCCACCTTAAGTGGTTTTGACTTCAGTGCTTCAAGGATTCCTTTCTTGGTATTTTTCTCTATGGAGAGGAATTTAGCAAGATGAGAATTTCAGAGGGGAAGGGAATTTTTAAAGGTTCCTTTTTTCTGCTACAATTAAATGCAGCTGCTCTGTTTGTGTGCTTTCTATGTACATTTATATATTAAATATTCTATGTATCCTATGTGAAAAATAAAAATGCCCTCAAGCTGAAATATCTCATCTTCCAAGGTATTTTATTTTATTCTGCACTCTAGCCAATATATGTGTAGTTTGGCTCAATTTCCCAAGATTAAGTCATCCTGACTTGCCAGTAAAATCCCATTTTAAAGAGCTGCTATACTTTAAAGCAATATTTTGTGATCCTTTCCCTGCAGCTCCATTCATAAAACCCAGGTATGATATTAGATGTTTGTGCTGCATCTTCACACTAACAGTTTATACACAAACTATTTTCTCTGATCCACATACTAATTCTATATAGGTTGCCCATTCTATATAATAGTCAAGATAAATACTGCAGCATGCAAAATGTTGCTGTTTCACCAAGCATCTTCAAGATTCTGCATTTACTGTTATTTTGGGGCAAACATTCAGCAAAGCATTCCATCGCTGTTTGAGTTGAAACGTTGACTAAAGCATAGGGCTGGAAAGCTTTGCTGAATGTTTGCCCAAAATAATACTGAATGCAGAGTCTTGATAAGCAAAATCTCATATATTACACAGCAAACCCTGGTGATTCGGTATTCTTTTAAAAGTTAAAGAAATTTTAGTCAATAAGGATTCTCCAAGAAGAGCTGGCTGTACAGGTGGCCAATTTCAGAAGAAATCATACTATAAATATATACAATGCATGCATACATTT